TTTATTTATTATTTTTCTTAAATAGTTTATTGTCAAGTTGGTGTCCATATAACACCCAGTGCTCATCCCAACATGTGCCCTCCCCCATGCCCATCACCCCCTTCCTCTCTCCCCCACTCCCATCAGCCCTCAGTTTGTTCTCAGCATTCATGAGTCTCTCATGGTTTGTCCCTCCCTCTCCCCAACTATTTTTCCCCTTCTTCTCCCTCATGGTCCTCCATAAACTTCCTCCTAATCCACCTATATGTGCAAACATATGGTATCTGTCCTTCTCTGCCTGACTTATTTCGCTCAGCATAACATCCTCTAGTTCCATCCATGTTGCTACACATGGCCAGATTTCATTCTTTCTCATTGCCATGTAGTATCCATTGTATAAATATACCACATCTTCTTGCTCCATTCATCAGTTGATGGACACTTAGGTTCTTCCCATGTTTTGGCTATTGTTGAGAGTGCTGCTATGAACATTGGGGTATGTGTGCCCCTATGCATCAGCATTCCTGTATCCCTTGGGTAAATTTCTAGCACTACTACTGCTGGATCATAGGGGAGTTCTATTGTTAATTTTTTGAGGAAGCTCCACACTGTTTTCCAGAGGGGCTGCCCCAGTTTACATTCCCACCAATAGTGTAGGAGGGTGCCCATTTCTCCACATCCTCACCAGCCTCTAGAGTCTCCTGATTTGTTCATTTTAGCCACTCTGTGTCTGTGTTCATTTTAGCCACACTCTGTGTCTGTTGGCAATCTGGATGTCTTTGGACAAGTGTCTGTTCATCTCTTCTGCCCATTTCTTCACTGGATTATTTGTTTTTCAGGTGTAGAATTTGATGAGTTCCTTATAGATATTGGATACTAACCCTTTATCTGATATGTCATTTACAACTATCTTTTCCCATTCCGTCAGTTGCCTATTAGTTTTATTGATTGTTTCCTTTGCCATGCAGAAATTTTTTTATCTTGATGAGGTCCCAGTAGTTCATTTTTGCTCTTGATTCCCTTGCCTTTGGGGATGTGTCAAGTAAGAAATTGCTGCAGTTGAGGTCAAGGAGGTTGTTTCCTGATTTCTCTTCTAGGGTTTTGATGGTTTCCTGTCTCACATTCAGGTCCTTTATCCATTTTGACTTTATTTTTGTGTATAGTGTGAGGGTGTGAGAAAATGATCTAGTTTCATTCTTCTGCATGTTGCTGTCCAGTTCTCCCAGCACCATCTGTTAAAGAAGCTTTCTTTTTTCCATTGGATACTCTTTCCCGCTTTGTCAAAGATTAGTTGGCCATACATTTGTGGGTCCAGTTCTGAGTTCTCTATTCTATTCCACTGGTCTATGTGTCTGTTTTTGTGCCAGTACCATACTGTCTTGATGACTACAGTCTAAGCTTCATTTTAAACATGTGTAAAATGGGGATTATAATACTTCATGGTGGTGTTAGAACTTGGAATAATCAATTCCTGGTATTTTATAAGTGGAGCATAGATAGAGGATTTAGAAATTTCCTATCCTATAGACAAAACAGTAAAGAAAGAAGGGCTATTAGATATTCAGGAAAAGTATTCATCAGCTTCTTTAAGTAGTTTTATCCTAACAGTCTTGGCAACCGGAGTTCTGCGGTGAGTCGTAACAATTCAGTGGTTGAGGTTCTTGACAATTCAAGGATCCCCTGAGCAACTAGCAGAAGATTGCTAATTTCCTCAGTTTTCAAATGTTGAATAATGATTCAGTCATCTTTGCAATCAAGATTTATTAAGCATTCCAATGATGTTTCTTGCAGAGGTAAGAAATACAGCATACACTGTAAAGTGGCCATTGGACAGTTCCTCTTGAGTTTTCTCATCTAGAGAATAAAATAAGAATATAAATAAACACACAGTGGGTAGAATAGACATACTCTTTCCCCTAGAGTCGTAGAGAGAAAATTAATTTTCACAGTTATATGACAAATCTAAAAAAATCTAAAAAAACTCTATTTTTTTCTATTTCATTAGAATATCATCAACTACTTACAGCTTAAGAAACTTAAGACTTCTAAATTAGATATATCCTTTGGGAATTAAACCACTAAGGACAATGAAGACTTTAAAAACTAACAACCACTTTTGGGGAGAAAACCTTTTTTTTCCAGTTGTGTTCATTGTTATTTTAAAAGCACATCATGTAGTGAGTTCCTCAGTTTCTCTTTGGTCTTTATCTACCTGATGATTTTAAATGTCCATAAAGATGAATATTAATGGTTGCTATACTTCGCAAGTTAGACATGTAATGGTTGATTTTGCTTCAAAGTAACTTACTTCTTTGTAGTATTAAGTTACTCTAATTTCCTACCTCCCTGCCTTTTATTTTCCTCTGGAGAAAACCCTTCCAGGGCATGACCTAATGAATTCTGGTTCAGATTTCCAAATGAATTTGAACCAAAGTGATTCTATAATTTGGTTGAGGGAACCTTCATTAAATACCCGAACAAGGGAATTTTTACTATTGCATACCAGACTAAAGTACATTTCTTGACATATTGAAATTGAACTTCAGCATTTATGAGAATATAAATTGCAGCAACACATTGTAACTGTCATGAGTCCAGTAGAGCCTTAGGTCAAGGGTTTTTACTTTCTCTGTAACCCCATTAAAAATAGCAGTGTTTCTAATTATTTTTCCTTTAAAAATTAGAAAAATATGTCCTGCTCTCCAGAGAGATGTTATCTTCAGTTATTCCTATAATTTATATGGTTGCATGGGGTATGTCTTTATAGTTTTTATTTGCACTTCACCAAAGTGCAAATTCAAATTTATAGGCTAGTTCAGCCTTCTCTTTTAAAACCTATATGTGATTTTCTAATTGAGAGCATTAATTTTTGTTTGTGATCTGTATTCCTGATCTCTTTGCCATCTTCTTACCCCAAAATCATCCCTAATCCCACCAGTTTGAGTATTTATTTAATTTATATTCAGTATAATTAACCTACAGTGTTATATTGGTTTCAAGTGTACAATACAATGATTAAACATTTCTATATATTACTCATTGCTCTTCATGGTAACTGTACTCTTAATCCTCATCTTTTTTACCCATCTCCCTACACAGCTTCCCTCTGGCAACCACCAGTTTCTTCTTTGTATTTAAGAGTCTATGGAGGGGGTGGCCTGGGTGGTTCAGGTGGTTAAGTGTCCCACTCTCTTGGTTTTTGTCTCAGGTCATGATCTCATGTTTTGTGAGTTTGAGCCACCACTCACAGCTCTCCACTGACAGTGCAGAACATGCTTGGGATTCTCTCTCTCCTTCTCTCTCTGCCTTTCCCCCTGCACATACTCTTTCTCTCTGTCAAGATAAATAAATAAACATTTAATAAAAGAGTCTGTGAGGGGTTGTCTTACCTCTTTTTTTCTTTGTTTTGTTTCTTAAATTCCATGTATGAGTGAAATCATATGGTATTCATCTTTCTCACTCTGACTTCTTTCACTTGGCATTATACTGTCTAGGTCCATCCATGTTGCTGCAAATAGCAAGGTCTCATTCATTTTTATGACTGAGTATTATTCCATTACATTCCATCGGAAGTTTCTGAACAGTTTTCAGACAGACTACTCCAGTTTAACTTCAGACCCCAAGCTATTTATTACTATTGTATTGTTTACATTGTAGGTGTGCTATGTGCATCATCTGAAGTTGAACTTGACATTCATCTATAACATTAATTTGAATATGGTCACCGGATTACAGTGTGATGGCAAGAGCTTATAGCTCTCATTACCTATCACCTTTAAGGGTTTTCTGAAACAACATTGCATGCTTGAAAAACATACAGTGCTTTGATGGCTAATTGGCCGAGCTTCCTTAGGACCCTGACATTTGATTTCTTCTCCTAACCTGCTGGCTGAATCTAGGGGTCTCCTATGAATTGCAAGAATAGACAAAGCATAAACTTCTCAGCAAATTTCAGTGTATCTTATTGTATAAGTCAACTGCGCCACTCATGGTATTCGGTGTTAGTCAAGATGAAATGGCTATTTGAAGAATATGGGAACTACAGAATTCTCTATAGGCTGGAGAACATAGCTTGAATCAGCTAGACAAGGTAGCCCCAGAAAGGTTAAGAAGTAGGACATCCAATAGCAACTGTTTATAGGAGGAGTCTGACCAAGAGATTGCTTATTGCTTCCACACTGGTAGTGAAGAATTCTAGCCATTCTTCACCTTCTGTCTCTCATTCAGAAACAAAAGTCCTGAGCAAGAACACGCAGTTAGCTGAGACTATGTCATATGCCCACCCTGGTACAGAGAGCCGGGAGAGGAAGAATCTGGACTTTATTTTTTTTCTGTAGGCTACACATAATGGTTGGTTCCCCTCCAAAATAGGAAAGAACATGTATTTCTTTTTTTTTTATTTTTTTTATTTTTTTATTTATTTCTAGGAGAGAGAGAGACAGCGCGAGCAGGGGAGGGTCAGAGAGAGAGGGAGTCACAGACTGAAACAGGCTCCAGGCTCTGAGCTGGCAGTCAGCACAGAGCCCGACGCGGGGCTCGAACCCACAAACCGCGAGATCATGACCTAAGCGAAAGTCGGACGCTTAACAGACTAAGCCACCCAGGCGCCCCAAGAACATGTGTTTCTAGATAGATATAGAACTTTATGGACATTTTGTTTTTAAAAACTTAAGATTTTTCTCGGACATCATGTTAAAGATAGAGAATTCCAACCCACTAACATTATCTGTGTTAGATTAGAAAAGCAGAATAACATTTCTAATCCCTAATATGTAAATTTACACTAATAATACCTACTGAATAGGATTATGTTGAAATACTATTTATAATGCCTTAAAGACAATAAGTACATTGCCTGCATTCAATTTAATGTACTTTTTCTGCTTAAGCAACTTAAAGTTTGATAGGTATGATTGTAATATTTTAAAAGGTTAATATTATCTTGCTGCATAATGATTCTGTTCACCTCTCTGCAATTTTAAAATAAATGATAATCATTTGATTTTTTTAATCTTTAACAGGCAGGCTAGCCTCAATGAAGCAGCCGAGAAGTATTATGATTTGGCGGCCAGACTGAGACCAAATGTAAGTACTTTGCTAATGAGAAATGTTACTCAAAGGGATAGATTCACAGCATGTGATAGCTTTAGATATAGAAGTCTCATGATGCTGGGCCTTTTCTCTCTGATTTCTTATTCCGAATACTCACTAAGTGGCTACTTCAATAATCACATCTGCCAGTCTACAGCCTCTTTCTTTCTGCAGAGGCACAAATTGCTATTTTCTATCCTGTGTAAAGCACCATACAGTTTTATCATTCAAATACAGGTTTTAACATTATTAAATAGTTGGCATCTAGTTTGCTTTTAAAATTAGTTCCTTGTAAGTGTTTCTGCTGGGGTGTTTAATACCTAAGGACTACCTAACATCATAAGTTTTTTGGTTTTTTTTTTTATCTTTACATACACTCAAACCTTAAGCCATGCCTCTTTTCAATTCCATGGTCCTCATTTCTAATAACTGTGCTTGTCAATGTTATCAAGTATGTTTTTATTAGAATTTTTCCCTGAGTAGTCACACTTCCATAAAGTGGGATGGATATAAATTAGATCATTACTATTGAAATAGAGTAACCATTTATGAGGAAATAAGAACTGGTTTTATATCTGTCTTCCAAGCCCTTTTTTATTCGCCGCACCTCAATGACCTCTAGCACATCGCTTTTATTCTCATACACCCTGCTCTGCATCACCCTCCAACACTAAAATCTTCTCCCCTTACTCTCCAGATCTAGACTGTCTATTGAGAAATGTAATTTTGAAACAGTAATGAAAGTGTGTGTGTGATGTGACTACAAATAGTGAGATAAGTCTCATTTTTATACAGTAACTCATCCGTTGGGCAAACAGCTATAGAGTGCCTGCTTTGTGATAGGATACAGAGATTTGATTTCATTCCTTAAAAGACTACATAATGTAGCAGAGAAGATGGAACATAATCAACTAGTTGAAATACAGTGTGGCAATTCCTAAGCAGAGGGATATACATTCCTGTGGGAGCACAGAAGAGGAGGATTAATGTTCCCTGAATGCTACCCACAGGGGGAGTAGCTTTTTTTTTTTTTTTTGCAGCCACATGTAATCTTAGCCCTCAATGTCCATGTCCCCATTTTTATTAATTATGAAGTACTTCAAGAATCAGTGAGCTGTTTGCAACAGGAAGGAAATAATTAATAGTTATAATGGTAAGAACAATAACAGCTGAAATTTGTTAAACACTGATTATGTGTCAGGCATCGTGTTAATACTGCATTCATTTCTCACAACAACCCACAGATACTTCTGTGGTCCCCATTCTGCTGACACTCAAAGAAATTAATAACTCAGTATCACAGCTGATAAGTGGGATCCCATTATAACCCAGGTTGCTCTGTGCCTAAGAAAAAGCTTGCTGGAAAAATGCAGTTATATCTTAGGTAATGCAAACCAAAAGACTAGGAAACAAAAAAAATAATGATTTTCTCACTTATGTAGTCAGTAAACATTAACTGAGTACCTGTTAGTGCCAAGCACTATTTCAGGCACTGAAATTACAGCAATGTACAAAATTGACCAGAGTTCCTGCCCATTAGGAGCTTATAATATAGTCTGAGGAGATGAAGCAGAAGAATAAGTAAAGTATATATGGCATCACATAGCGATAAGTGCTTTGGGGAAAAATGGAGCAAGAAAAGAGAGTTAGGAGGTACAGGGAGAGATAGGCAGGAGGCATATCTTTGTGAATGCCTGAGATGCTGTCATCATTATTACTTTTTAATGTTTATTTATTTTTGAGAGAGACACAGAGTGTGAGCAGGGAAGGGGCAGAGAAAGAGAGGGAGACATAGAATCCAAAGCAGGCTACAGGCTATGAGCTGTCAGCACAGAGCGCTTCATGGGGCTCAAACTCCCGAACCTTGAGATCTTGACTGAGCCCAAGTCAGCTGCTTAACCAGCTGAGCCACCCAGGTGTTCCTGTATAGCATTTCTAAGGGTTAAATATGAAATATTTAATTATTATAACTTCAATTGAAGATGAGAATCAGGGCTTTGTTTTTCTTTTTTTGTTGTTGTTCCCTTCATTATAATGAATATAATGCCCACAGTATACATAAAAATGATGATGTTAAGTTTAACCTTTACTCATTGAGTATCAGTCACCTTTATTTCTGTTAAGTAGTTGATCAAATGGTCTTCTTCAGCACATTATAATGGATTAATGAGTAAAGAGCTATCTGAGATATCTGACCTGACCTAAAAAAATGAAAAAGATGCTGAGGCATCCCAGATTTAAGCCAGACTTATGAACTTGTTTATTTTAAATGGCCAGCCAAATCATAAAATCAATATTTAATCTCCCAACTTAAAGCCATTTTTCCTGAAACCCCAAAAAGTTTCTTCATGAACATGCTGCAGACTGTTTTTGAAAAATGCATTTATTCAAATGCTACTTCCTTTATCTGGTAGCAATAAAGTAAGTATTTTATGGATTTGGATAGAATAGGAAGTTCAGATTTAACATTAAGCAAATGATGTTACAGCTGTAGATCAACAGATGTGGTCTTTCCCTAATCTGTTTTATGAATTGTGTTTTGGTTTTCTGTATATAATCTAAGTAAGATGCCACTATGGCAAGACTGATAAAACAAAGACATTGGCAATAATATATACGTTTGTGTTCTGAACCAAGGAGACCTATTAAAACAATGGTCCATATATATAATGATTTATTAGCAGTTAGCATCTGATCCAAATTAAAGCATCCATCTAACATTTATCTTGATCATAGCTGTTATTCTCTTTGTCCTGAAAACATTCTATGTTATTTCTGTGCTTTAACTTAATAAATTTCAGTTCCCTGCTTATAAGAGGACATGGTAAACAGACCTCCATTCCCCTTCTCTATAAGTGGTTTCACTGTCTTTTCCATTTTTCTTGTCTACACAGTAATCTAATCTTATTTTTCAAAGGGCATTTTCTTCTGTTGTTTGAATGTCCAACTATAACAATCAGTAGCTATATGTGGGGGATCCTGTGAGTGTTTTAGCAATGCTCATGTCCTGATTGTACAAAGTAAAATATGGAGCTGCAGCCCTGTGTCCTGCCACTTACTATCATCATATTAAAAAGGTTGTTATTTTTGTGGGATATTTTTCTCTCTTAATAAAATACCTATTCCATTTCTTCAGTATGTCCCGTGATGAATGTCTTTATTCCTTTCTAGTCTACAAAAGCCATATTTTTTTTCCCTACAATTTCCTTTAAAATTGTTAACTGACTTCTTGGGATATTTTATGTACAAAAAATTCCAGTGATAAAATTATAAACTAATAAAAGGCTAATTAGCAGGCATGCATTATTTTAAGTGTTAAATTATGATATTGTCTCTTCATCACATATTCAGTGCATTGTCATTTACTAGTGTGTACAGTTACACTTATTACCAAAATGGCACCATTAAATTTAATCCTATTTATTTGATTTTGGGGGAGGTAGGAGGGAATAATCTAATATTAAGCCTCATACTACATTAAAACATTTTTATAATGGGAAACTCTTTACCCAAATTGCCATTTTAATTTTTTCCACTCTTAGTTTTTCATTTGTGTAAATAAAACTGATCTCTGTGTGGAGGTTACTTTAAAAAGACAAACTTCTGTCTTCTCTCTCACTTCTGCACATTAAAAAAAATGCTGACTCTTGAAGACTAGAGGGAACATTTAAATGAAATAGTTTTGTTCCTCCTGTGGGAATTAAGCCAAATTATGCATTAACTTACGAATTTTTAATTTTTTTTCTAATGTGAAGAATGGGGAATTTGCATAGTACAAAGTCACCCACTTGTACTTAGCTTTTAGCAAACTCTAGAAGTTAGAAAGAGGCAATTACTAATGATCAGGCCTAAATATCTTGTATTTTTTCTGGATGTAATTTTGGTCTGAATTAATTTGTTTTTTATCAAGTTCCAGCTTTGTGTAAGACGATGCCAAATGCAGTGGCATTTCAGTTACGAAAATTTAACCCTGACGTTGAGAAATATTGTCTCATGTTGGGAGGAAATGGAGGAGAGAACACTTGGACCCAAATCTTCACAATTCAGGGCAGTATATAATGCTGTATAATAAGTACTTTGTGAGTGATATAAGGCAGTCCTAGGGAAGTGTTCCGGAGAGAAAAATTACTTTCATCTGTACTGCTCCTAGAAGGTATTGAGTGAGAGTAGGAAACTTAGAGAATCCTGAAATGATAGGATGTTTAGAGGCAAAGATTTTAGCAGGAGGAGGAGAAGAAAGAGAATGTGCATGAATATTCTACCTGGCAGGTAGAGGCATATGCATGAATAAGGACATGGAGCTGAGAAAACATGAACTAGGTGCAAGAAATAGTAAGCCCAGGGTTGGGGGCAGAGAGGAAGAATGGGGGAAGATAGAACTGGAAATGAAGATAAAACCAGATGAAAAGTGTTGAATATCATATCAAGAATTAGGAGTTTGTATTCCAGAGTTATGTTGAACAGGATGACATAATGAAAGTGATAATTTAGGATAGCCATTTATATGATGTAATGAAGAATGTGGGTTGCATTTGGAAAAGTAGAGTTGAAAGATGCCACTTTTGGAAAGACACTAAAAAAGTCATTGTAAAAGTTTAAGCAGAAGGTATAATCCAAAAGTACAGAAACACAGTGGAATGGAAAAGAATATGCAGGAGAAATAAGTAGATTATTTGATAGCATGTGAGTAGGAAAATTAGTTGGCCCAATGAATGTTCCAAAATTTTGAATATAGGTAGCTTGGAAGAAGGAAAGATAAATACCCCGAACAGAAATATGGTAGTCAGAGGAGTGTGTGTATTTCAAGAAAAAATTTGGACCCAGCAGATTCTGAGCAAGAAGTAGAATATTATAATTGTCCATGGGACACTCCTATCAAGTAGGCAGTTGGGGGAAAGGCCACAGTTAGAATTAGAGATGTGGGAGTCATTTGCAGAAAAGAGATAATGCCAAAGAGGTTGTTAAGATGAGGAAAAGATGTACAAAAGTAGAAA